GGTTCTGCTGACCATTGGATCCCCGCTAAAACTCCCCAGAGCAGGCCAAAATCTGCTCCTCCAGTGTGCAGAATCTGCAGCCTTCAGTGCTCCTTCCTCATGCCCCTTGGGAGCTGAGACCCCGCTATTTCAGGGTCAAAACAGCCAAGGCTTATATTGATCTTCACATCCCAGACCAGCTCTGTACTGCTTACAAGTCTCAAATCCAGGTTTGGATTAACCTTGTTGGCCCATCTGGCATTTGCACTAAGAAGTGGTTCCCAAGAGCTAAGCTGCCTGGACTGTTTGCATGCTACTGCATTCCCCTTCCAGAAAATGCCAAGGCCATTAAAGTCCCCCAGGCTTCTACATCCAGTGACTTCCTTGAAGTGCTTAGAAAAGACTGTGCCAACTTCTCCACCCTGACTTCATGTTCCTCATGTTCCACCATGATGTCACCTTTACTGCCCCCCGACCCTCACTCAAAAGGACTCACCCAACAAGTCCATTGCCCCATAGAACAGCTCCACATATACCGTTAATTTCTTCGCTTTGAGAGAAACCCCACTCCTGATCTTTCCAGCCTGTCTCTCCTGAAAATCCTGTGCCCGTCCTTTGAAGCACCCCAAGCTGTGTCACTTGCTGAACCATACCTTGGCAGTTACTCCAATGATGTCCAAAAGCACAGGCTCTAGCTTGTCCTGGCTGTGCTCCTGGCTCAGGGTTTTGACACACATTTGGGCTGTAGCACTCCAGGTGTAGCCCAAGGCCAAGATTTGACTTGTCTTAGGAAAACCCGGTACCGTGTGCCCAAGACCCTGTGTGTGCAAAGGCTTTGCTTCAGGGAAGAGACATGCCAGAGTGGACAGCAGATGGAAACATAAAGCTGAAACTGTATGCCAAGAGAGTGAGAAAGCCCTACCATCCCGAAAGCCAGAGAGAAACAGGACGGGGAAGTGCATCCCTGGCAAGGAATAGGGTTGCTGCCAGTGGTGTCTGCTGTCCCTGAGGGCCCTTGGCAGAGGTGAAGCTGATCTTTAGGAATGATAAGGTGCTACTGACAGGCACACTGTGAAAACTGTCTGTTCCTTGACTGTTTTTCCAGGAGGTGCTGTTGTGGTTTAACCGCAGCCAGCAACTCAGCACCACACCAACACTTGCTCACTCCCCCATGGTAGGAAGTGGGGGGAGAATCGGAAGGGTAAAAGTGAGAAAACTCATGGATTGAGATAAAGACAGTTTAATAGGGAAAGCAAAAGCCATGCACACAAGCAAAGCAAAACAGGGAATTAATTCACTGGGAAAGTGGGACTCCATCATGTGTAACAGTTACTTCCCCCTTCCTTCTTCTTCCCCCAGCTTATATACTGAGCATGACGTCATATGGTCTGGAATAGCCCTTTGGCCAGTTAGGGTCAGCTGTCTTGGCTGAGTCCCCTCCCAGCTTCTTGTGCCTCTGGAAGAGCAGGGGAAGCTGAAAAAGCCTTGACTGGTGCAAGCCCTGCTCAGCAACAACAGAACCATCAGGGTGCTATCAACATTCTTCTAGTACTAAATGCAAAACACATCACTGTGCCAGCTTCTAGGAAGAAAATTAACTCCGTCCCAGTTGAAACCAGGGCATGAGGGTGACAGAGCACTGGAACAGGCTGCCCAGGGGTGTTGTGGAGTCTCCTCTGGAGATATTCAAAACCTGCCTGGATGATGTCCTGTGCAACAAGCTCTAGGTGACCCTGCTTTAGCAGGAGGGTTGGACTGGATGATCTCCCGAGGTCCCTTCCAACCCTTGCCATTCTGTGATTCTGTGATTTTGTGATGAGTAAAGGCCAGTGGAGAGACAAACCAGAGGTTTGAAAGTGTAGGCACATGTGCAGATACCCCTGTGTGATGTTTCTTCTATTCATGGACTTTCTTCCTGGCTAGAGAAGGGACAGACTTTGCCACGCTGCACTGATGGCAATGAGTTTCTTGCACAAAGGCACCGAACCTGTCTGCAATGCTGCCTGGGGTTTCCGTCACACACTCGCTCTGAACAGGGATGGCTTTCCTGTACAGGACCATCACTGTCCCTGCCAACTGCCTGTAGCTGTGTGTGAGAACCTTGGCACCTCATGTAATGTTATAGGCCTGTTAATTGGTAGTAAATGGAATAACTGCCCTGAATTTGATTAGGCGATGTAAGAATGTTCATGACACCACCATCATTATCATCAACGGAGATCTAGTCAACCCAGCTGATGGAAAAGAGAGAAACTTAGCTCTCCTTATGGTACATGACTCTATTTCATCAGGTAAACCCCTGTGTAGGCTAGACAGAACATAACAGAGACAGTGTCCATTGTCCTAAATGTGAGTGTCTGATGTTATTTCTGTTGGCCAAAGAAATTCTCCAACAGCCTCCAAGAAGATGCCCCCTGTCTGTCAGCTGCTCCTTGAGAGCTTGCAGCTAGCTCCATATGTCTTGCTCCACCTCTGGCACTTCAAGAGTCACCAGGTCTTTGCATGTGAATATGTCGGTCCTGGCCTCCATCTCCATTAATTAGCATGGGAGCTGACAGAAGGAGCTCACATGCAGGTGTCTGTTGTGTGCACACCTGAACTGAGGTAGGAGGAATTCCACCTCCTGTGCATTTGTGCTGTGGGTAGGGGACACCTCAGGACTACAGACATTGAATGGGGACTGAATCCTTTCCCTCAGCAGTGGTAAATGAGATCATTCTCTGTCCTTGCCTGGGTGTCCCATCTAAAGAAGGGACAATGAAAAGGTGATTCTTGGACCTAATGCTTTTTCTAATGGGAGAAATGACACTTCATGAAGTGTTTCTCCCCAGCTGCAGGAGGGAAAATCAGTGAAGACTTCAGCCTGTTCCACTGAAGGTTCCCTGGAGCCCCAGGGACATCTGGAGGGAGCCCAGAGAGGGGAGAGAAAGCACTGCCTATGACTGGTCCTCTGCTACTGAGCTGGGCTGGGCTCCTGGGATGGAGGGAGCTCATGACAAGTGGGCAGCACTGTAGAGAGACAGCTCTGCCCAGGAGCAGGGATGAGGACACTGCCTGCTGGCACAGAGAGGAGATCTATGAGGCTGAGAGAGCTTGAAGGCAGTTGAGATTATGAGGATTCTGAGATCTCACTGGGGGAGAAATCTTCACAGCCCACTATGTGGTAAGTCTCTGGATACAAGGCAATGCAGCTTCAGTTCCTGGAGGCATCTCCTAAAACTGGTACATCAGTTTATGGGCTCTTGTCAAGAGGACTGTCTTCGTTTCACTAATGTGGAGGAGGCCAGCATGCCCCAGAGCAGGGCTTCCTTGCAGCATCATCGCAGGCACCATCATGATGGCTGCCTTCTCCCAGGAATGGTTGTGGAGGTGTGCATCTGGGGACGTGCCCAGGGGTGTTCATGGCTGTCCTTCAAAGCAGGGTCCCTTTGACCTAGGGAGCGGTGTTCCAGGGCAGGGACTTTGTCTCTTGCCATGGTCAGCACTCAGCCTGGCTGGGGACCTCCCCATGGCACTTTGGAAAGAAGCTGTGGGTGGAAGGAGAGACCTCTGGCAGGGAAGGGTCCTTCTGCTGTCAAGAGGGTGTTGCATGGGTCAAGGCTGCTCACAGCTTCAGATTACCGCAGGACATTCCCAGAAGACTTTTGAAGAAGCACATCAAGGCAGGGGCTACCTGAAGAGGAAGGATCCTGTTCTTTCAGTCTCCTGCTTTGGGTTGCCTGGGTGGGTGGTGGGACATAGAAATCAATATTTATTTTCAGGAGGAGGCACTGAAATTCCAAATCTGTTACTCTTAGAGGTGAATAAACCAGGGAGTATCAGAAATCAACAAACCATGGCTTACAGAAAGCATCTGTATCATCTTTCCAGCCTCATCATGGTTGCTCTGATGTTGCCATCAGAGCCTGCACACACAGAAAGACATTGAGCAGCACCCTGCTGCCAGGAGGTGTCTGCAGGGCAGACCTGAGCACACACTAGGTAGGATGGGATCTGTGAGCATGGGCAGGGAGGAGACTTGGGCACAGGCAAACGGTTCCTGACAGAGACAGCTCCAGGCAGCAGAGAGGCGGGCAGGGAGTAGAAGGAAACGGCAAACAAGTGCTGGGGGAGGGTGCATTCAGGCAGCTCTCTTTTGGTCCTTCACTGTAGATGTCTTCTGAGCATTGTCTGCTGACTCTGCCTTTAGGACATCCCATCTTTGCGACCCCTGCCTGCCTGCTTTTCCTGTCCTGCTGGGCTTGTGAGCTGCCCTCCAGAAAGGCACAGAATGCTGAGCTTTCCCTTGGAGTTTAGTACTCTCCCCTCAGAGCCTTTGGCTTCTCTCTGTGAGGGACAGTGTCATCCTCCATCACAACTCCACCTCTGAGCTGGGAAAGAGAAGAGTTTGCACATCTGACCTTTGAAACATTGCTCCCCTGCTTTCATCAGAGTCCAGTTAGTTGGGGTTTTTTTTAATGAATAATTTATGTGTGAATTCATCTTCGAGGCAGTGCAAGTGGAAGCAGGGCAGCTGTGTAATGGAGTCATGGACACTGCAGCTCACCTTACTGCACTAAACCAGAGAGAGCTCAGCCCTTTTGCCTGTCCTGCTTCAAGACTCTCCACATTTTCCTAAAAAGAATACTTACACAGATGTGATGGTTGAAAATAATAAAAAAAAAAAACCACAGACAAATTTATTCTACGGATATGCTAAGCCTCTTTTCTGCAGTCCGTGATCTTTTCCATTAAGGAACGATTACATCTGACATCCCGTGTGAACACGGGAGCTGTCACAAACCAATTCCCATGTACCTACTGCAGCAGAAGAAAACTGGCTCCTTGGCAGTACATGGGCAGAGGTCCTGCTCCCCACTACACACTCAGCCAGCACAAACCAGAGAAAGGAAATGCATTTCAATCTAGTTTGGGTGGGGGGATTTCTATGAAAAATTGTGTGGCATTGCTCAGAGTAGTCTGTCATAATTTTTCCTTGTCTCTTCTTTTTATAACAGGGCCCCTATGTCAAGAAACAGCAAATGTCCAACAGCAGCTCCATCACCCAGTTTCTCCTCCTGGCATTTGCAGACACGCGGGAGCTGCAGCTCTTGCACTTCTGGCTCTTCCTGGGCATCTATCTGGCTGCCCTTCTGGGCAACGGCCTCATCATCGCCACCATAGCCTGTGACCACCGCCTCCACACCCCCATGTACTTCTTCCTCTTCAACCTCTCCCTCCTCGACCTGGGATCCATCTCCTCCACTCTCCCCAAGTCCATGGCCAATTCCCTCTGGGACACGAGGGCCATCTCCTACTTGGGATGTGCTGCACAAGTCTTTTTCTTTCTCTTCTTGATTGTAGGGGAGTATTTTCTTCTCACTGTCATGGCCTATGACCGCTACGTTGCCATCTGCAAACCCCTGCACTATGGGACCCTGCTGGGCAGAAGAGCTTGTGTCCACATGGCAGCAGCTGCCTGGGGCAGTGGGTTTGTCAATGCTCTGCTGCACACTGCCAACACATTTTCACTACCCCTCTGCCAAGGCAATGCTGTGGACCAGTTCTTCTGCGAACTGCCCCAGATCCTCAAGCTCTCCTGCTCAGACTCCTACCTCAGGAAGGCTGGGCTTCTTGTGTTGGCTTTTTCTTTATCTTCAGGGTGTTTTGTTTTCATTGTGCTGTCCTATGTGCAGATCTTTAGGGCTGTGCTGAGGATCCCCTCTGGGCAGGGACGGCTCAAAGCCTTTTCCATGTGCATCCCTCACCTGGCCGTGGTCTCCCTGTTTATCAGCACTTCCATGTTTGCCTACCTGAAGCCTCCATCCTCCATGGAGGAGTCCCCATCTCTGGACCTACTGGTGGCATTTTTGTATTCGGTGCTGCCTCCAGCAGTGAACCCCATCATCTACAGCATGAGGAACAAGGAGCTCAAGGGTGCACTGAAGAAGCTGATTCAATCATTTGTCTTTCAACAGCGATAAGACCATGCCTCATGGCAAGTGATTTCCAGTTCATCTCAGGAACTTCCTGTGCTTTGGGCATTTTATTTATGACAATCCTGTTTGTCCAGAAATGTCTGCATCTACTCCACTTCTCCAGAGGCATGATCCAGTCTGTCTGACCCAGAGCCCTTTGTACATGTGTCTGGCGTGATAGTACAGCTGACCTCCTGTGTTCTACCTTCCTAATAAAAGGGGATTTCCTCAGTGACGATGTCTTGAGGGTGGGTTCTTTTTCCAAATGTGTGGTCAGGAACAGGCTGAAGAGATTCCACCCATGAGGCCATGCTGCTGTGCTTGTGTTCTCCCTCTGCTCAGCGCAGGAGGGCATGGGGTGATGAGTTAGGGAATAGACCTGGGTTGAGCCCAATTCCAACGAAAATGATGGATGATCCACAGAGATCTGCCTAGGACTCTCATGCCTTTCAGGCACTACAGCCCTCTCACCCTGCAGAGCAGCACCACCAGCCCAGGACCCTGCGAGGAGCATGGGGAGGGAACAGGAGAAACCAGCCAGGAGAGCACAGACACAGTCTCCTGGGGAAAGTCTCTCCGTGGGCAGGGATGTCCCTGGAAAAGAGAAAAGGAGCAAATCTCTGCTTCTGGGGGAGGATGGATAAATGGAAAAGAGACCCTGGTTTCTGTATGTACCAGCTTGGGGCAGGCCACACTGTTGCTGGGACAGCAGGAGCAGCCTGCGCAGCTCCTGGGCCAGGAGTCTTGTGCTGGGGAGAGGGGCTTGAACAGAGAGGCTTTGGTCAGTTGGCAATAAGGATCACCTGGAGACAAGAGCAGGAGATGTAAGGAGACACTGGTCTCTGTCTCCTCATGCTATGGCTGACCCTCAGCCCAAGGGCTCATTGGGAAGGATGAGACCCCTCTTTGCCCCTCAGGAGCTGCTGTGCACTTTCAGAGGGGCTGGGGCTGTGAGGTCAGTGCCCAGAGCTCTGCAGCACTTGGTGATGAGAACTGCTGTGGGTCCAGCCCAGGTTGGGCTACTCTGCTGGGCTGGGCTGGTGCCTGTCAGTAGCACCTTATCATTCCTAAAGATCAGCTTCACCTCTGCCAAGGGCCCTCAGGGACAGCAGACACCACTGGCAGCAACCCTATTCCTTGCCAGGGATGCACTTCCCCGTCCTGTTTCTCTCTGGCTTTCGGGATGGTAGGGCTTTCTCACTCTCTTGGCATACAGTTTCAGCTTTATGTTTCCATCTGCTGTCCACTCTGGCATGTCTCTTCCCTGAAGCAAAGCCTTTGCACACACAGGGTCTTGGGCACACGGTACCGGGTTTTCCTAAGACAAGTCAAATCTTGGCCTTGGGCTACACCTGGAGTGCTACAGCCCAAATGTGTGTCAAAACCCTGAGCCAGGAGCACAGCCAGGACGAGCTAGAGCCTGTGCTTTTGGACATCATTGGAGTAACTGCCAAGGTATGGTTCAGCAAGTGACACAGCTTGGGGTGCTTCAAAGGACGGGCACAGGATTTTCAGGAGAGACAGGCTGGAAAGATCAGGAGTGGGGTTTCTCTCAAAGCGAAGAAATTAACGGTATATGTGGAGCTGTTCTATGGGGCAATGGACTTGTTGGGTGAGTCCTTTTGAGTGAGGGTCGGGGGGCAGTAAAGGTGACATCATGGTGGAACATGAGGAACATGAAGTCAGGGTGGAGAAGTTGGCACAGTCTTTTCTAAGCACTTCAAGGAAGTCACTGGATGTAGAAGCCTGGGGGACTTTAATGGCCTTGGCATTTTCTGGAAGGGGAATGCAGTAGCATGCAAACAGTCCAGGCAGCTTAGCTCTTGGGAACCACTTCTTAGTGCAAATGCCAGATGGGCCAACAAGGTTAATCCAAACCTGGATTTGAGACTTGTAAGCAGTACAGAGCTGGTCTGGGATGTGAAGATCAATATAAGCCTTGGCTGTTTTGACCCTGAAATAGCGGGGTCTCAGCTCCCAAGGGGCATGAGGAAGGAGCACTGAAGGCTGCAGATTCTGCACACTGGAGGAGCAGATTTTGGCCTGCTCTGGGGAGTTTTAGCGGGGATCCAATGGTCAGCAGAACCAAAGGGCAGCAGAGTCTTCAAGGACAGCATCCTCCAAGCTTGGCAATAGTCTATATCAAAACTCAGATGAATCTCGAATGGGATTTCAAGGGCACCACAATGATCTCATATTACTTGAGGGACAGTTAAAGAAGAATATGGGTTTGATGGAGATATGGATTTGATGGGTGGACCATTCAGTGGGTAAGGAATTGGTTGGATGGTCGCATCCAGAGAGTAGAGGTCAACTGCTCGATGTCCAGATGGCGACCGGTGACAAGTGGTGTCCCTCAGGGGTCCGTACTGGGACCGGTGCTGTTTAACGTTTTCATCAATGACTTAGACAGCGAGATCGAGTGCACCCTCAGCAAGTTTGCAGGTGACACCAAGCTGAGTGGTGCAATTGACATACCAGAAGGACGGGATGTGATCCAAAGAGACCTGGAAAAACCTGAGAGGTGGGCCTGTGTGAACATCATGAAGTTCAACAAGGCCAAGTGCAAGGCTCTGCCCCTGGGTTGGGGCAACCCTTGGTATTGATACAGGCTGGGGGGTGAAAGGATGGAGAGCAGCCCTGCCGAGAGGGACTTGGGGGTACTGATGGAAGAAAAGCTGGACATGAGCTGGCAATGTGAGCTGGCAGCCCAGAAGGTCAACCGTACTCTGGGCTGCATCAGGAGAAGCGTGGCCAGCAGGGTGACGGAGTGGACTATGCCCCTCTAATCTGCTCTGATGAGACCTCACCTGGAGCCCTGCATCCAGGTCTGGATCCCTCAGCACAAGAAGGACATGGACCTGTTGGAGCGGGTCCAGAAGAGGGTTACCAAAATGATCTGAGGACTCCTACAAGGACAGGCTGAGAGAGTTGGGGTTGTTCAGCCTGGAGAAGAGAAGGCTGCGAGAAGACCTTGTTGCAGCCTTTCAGTACCTAAAGGGGGCCCATGGGAAAGATGGGGAAAATCTCTTTAGTAGGGCCAGCTGTGACAGGACAAGGGGTGCTGGTTTTAAACTAAACCAGGGTAGGGTTAGACTGGCTCTAAGGAAGATATTCTTTACAATGAGGGTGGTGAAACACTGGAACAGGTTGCCCAGGGAGGTAGTGGATGCCCCATCTCTGGAAACATTCAAGGCCAGGTTGGACAGGGCTCTGAGTGATCTGATCTAGTTAACGGTGTCCCTGCTCCTGCAGGGGGGTTGGACTAGATGACCTCTAGGGGTCCCTTCCAACCCCAAACGTTCTATGATTCTATGATTCTATATTAAATTAACTTGGGCCCAAAAGGGAGCCCTGGGTAACACTGCTTGTGACCAACCTCCAACTGGATTTAACTCTGTTGACCACAACTCTCTGGGCCTGGCCATCCAGACAGTTTTTTACCCAGCAAAGAGTTCCCTGTCCAGGCCATAGGCAGCCAGTTTCTCAAGCAGAATGCTGTGGGAAATGGTGTCAAAGGCTTTATTAAAATCCAGTCACACTGTGTCCACAGCCTTTCCCTCGTCTGCTAAGACGGTCACCTGGTCATAGAAGGAGATCAGGTTGGTCAAGCAGGACCTGCCTTTTGGGAACCCATGCTGGCTGAGCCTGATCCCCTGGTTGTTCTGCACATGCCTGGAGAGCACACTTAACATGAACATAATCTTAAAACCTTCCCTGGTACCGAGGTCAAGCTGACAGGCCTGTAGTTCTCCGGTTCCTCCTACCAGCCCTTCTTGCAGATGGGTGTTACATTTGCTAATGTCCAGTCAGCTGGGACCTCCCCTGTTAACCAGGACTGCTGATAAATGATGGAGAGTGGCTTGGCAAGCAACTCTGCCAGCTCCTTCAGTACTCTCGGGTGGATCCCATCTGGCCCCATAGACTTGTGAGTGTCCAGGTGGCATAGCAGGATGTAAACTGCTTCCTCCTGGATTATGGGGACTTCATTCTGCTCTCTGTCCCTGTTGTCCAGCTCAGGGTCTGACTGAGACAAAGAAGGCATTAAGTATCTCAGCCTTTTCCTCATCCTTGGTGGCAATGTTCTCCCCTGCATCCAATAAAGGATGGAGATTCTCCTTGGCTGTCTTTTTGTTGTTACTTTATTTGTAAAAACATTTTTTATAATCTCTTACAGCAGTGGCCAGGTTGAGCTCTAGCTGGGCTTTTACCTTAGTCTTGTGGTTTCCTTATAGCCAGATTGGTGATATCTGGACTGAAGAAGTACATGATGATGGATGGGAATTGTGCTGGATGGTCAGGCTGAGATATCTTCAGTGGCATGGAGTCCTCCTGGCAGCCAGTCACTATGGAATGACCAGCACTGGGTCCAAGACTGTTGAAAGTCTTTATTATCTCCTCATATGATGGGATGGAGCTCACCTTCAGCTCCTTTGTAGAGGATGGTGTCACCAAAATCGGGAATAATCGTCGTAACACCAATGTAGTATTAAAAGGCAGGCATTCTTTATTCATGGTGCCAGATACATGGGGGATTGCTCCACCTAGCGTGCACACCTCTGTGCTATCTCTTACAGTCTAAATATATGTTCTATATGAATATTCATGGTTTATACAAATTATTTCTAGGAATAGGCGGAGAGTTCTAAGAAACCGTTAACATATTATCCCTCGTTTTTACACACACGCAATCTGTTCTGGTGGTCGCATCTGGGGGTGTTTTGGATGAAGGCAAAACATCTTCCTCACTCTTAATTTTTCATGTTCCAAGGCCAGCACGTCCTGCCAACTGTCCATCAGTTACTTCTCTTCCTTTATCTTCCATGTGCTTTGTTCTCGTTCCTCCTCGTCAAGCAACCTTGACAAATCATCATTATCTTTCTTACTTTATCCTCTCCCAATTCCTCCCGTCCTTTAATAAGGTTATAAATCTACTAAGTAACTACTGACTTTAGCAAAGCATCAGCAAACTAGACAATAAGGTCTAAGTCTTATGCACGTAGGCTGCTTACATCATTAACTTTAACCCTTAAGGCATCAATGGCAAGCTGAGGAGCCTTTGAGATACCTCATCTAGGTCACCCTGCCTTGACAGGAAAGCTGGATAAGACCAACATGAGTTATTCTATAGTGCAAGAAATCTTCCCCTGGAAGAGCTCATTGAAGATACAATAGGTAGATGAAAAGTCACAGAGGCAGAAGTATATTAAATATGCCAATATAAATAGAGTAGTTCTTCTCAGCAATGTTTCTCCATTTGAACCATTGGTAAGAAAATTTATTCTGATAAGTGGCTGCATAAAACTATTTACATAGTGAGAGAGAGCACCATCAGCATGCTAGTACACACCCTTGGTGCTGTTAAAAAAAAAAAAAAAACAGGAAAAAAAAAAAGAAAAATCATAAAAAACCTAACAATGCTGGAAATGAAGACTTTTTCACCTATTACATAGAGTTCTTTTCTGCAGAGTTTTCACATTTGTCCTAAAATCTACATTTAGGGCTTGATTCAGATATCCACACAGAAGTGGCCACTGCCTCTAGGATGCCCTGGGGTAACTGAAGCACCCATGTGGGAAACGTGCCCCAGGAGCTATGGGGAACCCTTCTGGAGCAGGAGCTGGCAGGCAGGCAGAGCGGTCCAGGGGTGGTGGAGGGCATCAGCTGCCTCCAGCACTGCTGCGGTGGGTGAGCAGGACCTTTCCAGCTCAGCAGCACATTGCATCCCCTTGGATGCTGGCTGTGAGGTCACTTCTGACTGGCCAGCAGTGGGGGACAGGTGATTGGAGGTCTTTAAAGCCACTACAATTTCCTCCAACAAGATGAATGATTTGGGAGGTCAGGAGAGGCTGGGGCAAGAGAGACAGTAGATTTGGGGGAGGGAAGAGGGGTTTGGCCTAAAGAGATGAAAGATTTTTAAGAGGAAAGATATGTTCAGTAATTTTTGTTATACTGTAACAACATTGATGTTTGGCTTTTACCCTATATCTGACTAGTAACCTTAAGCCCTAAGCAGTCTCCTAAATGGTACCTTTTACACTGTCAAGAATCCACTACTCTAATCCCTACCCACAAACCCTACCTCTAAACCAAAGCCCAAACCCATAATCCCTTATTCTTACTTTTACCCTAATCCCTAGCCTTTATCCCTAACCTTAAATGTTGGCCATAACCCTAACTTTCACCCCAGCCTTAATCAAAACCCTAATCCACAAAGCTTGCCCATACCCTCACACTAACCAGACACCCTCAGCAGAACACCAAACGCTCACCCTAAGCCCAACAGGACTGAGATCTTTGTCCTCCTGGCTAAGGCCTCTGCCTCTGCCACAGAGGCCTAGCAGTAGGAACTTTCTTTTGAGGCTCTGGACTTTGTGTCTTCCTTGCCACTGCTTGGGGAGGCTGGGAGGTGTTGCAGTTTTCCTTCCCTTAGCATTTCTCACCCTCACATCCCACTGCCCCCAGGAAGAGCCTTGAGCCATGTGTGAGGCCAGGGAGAAACAGGCCTGGCTGCGCAGCACCTGGGGCCTGTGACAGAGGAGAAGCTGATGTCCAAGAAGGACAAGGTGCTGCTGAGGCTGTCCCTGAGGGAGGACAGCCTGTGATCCAGCCACACTGTGGACATCAGGTTGGGGGCACACTGGCCAGATAGAAGCTCTGCAGAGAAGGACCTTGGGTCCTGGAGGGCAAGCAGCTGAGCATGAACCAGCAATGCACCCCCATGTCAAAGGTCAACAATTTTCTAGGGTGCATTAGAAAAAGTATTGCTGGCAGATGGAGGGAGGTGACACTTCCCTTCTACTGGGTTCCTCACTACAATAAAGTTGTTGATCTACTAAAGCAAGTCCAGCAAAGAGCCACAAAGCTGGTGTAAAGGACTGCAGCATCCTTTATAGGAAGAAACATTGAGATGTGGGGCTGTTCAGTCTGGAGAAGAAAAGGCTTGGAGGGATCTTATTAATGTGTATAAATAACTGATGGGACGGCATGAACACAAGGGAGCCAGACTCCTCTCAGTTGTTCCCACTGACAAGACAAGGGGTGATGGACATAGCTAAACACATCAAATTACATCTGAAATCAAGAAAGCACTTGTTAACTGTGAAGGTGGTCAAAGACTAGAGCAGGTTGTACAGAGAGGTTGTGGTCTCCATCCATGGAGATATTCCAAACCCATTTAGACAAGGTCTTGAGGAACCTGCTCTAGCTGACCCTGCCTCAGTTGGAGGGTTGGACTAGATGGACTTCAGAGGTCCCTTCCAACCTCAAACTCTGTGAGTAGAAAGGAGGAAAGTAAGACAGAAAGAAATGAACACCACATAGCCCTGATAACGAATACCTTGGAATCCTGTGGAGAAGACCTATGTTGAGAAGGGGAAAACTCAAAAGGAGGAAGGAGCGGCAGAGATGGACTTTTATGTACTGACTGTAACCCCCCATTTCCCATCCCCCTTGTGCATCTCAGTGCTGGAGTGAGTAGAAGAACTGGGAATGAAGCAGTCATTTGAGCCTGGGAAAAAAAGAAGTGGGGTAGGGAATGGTTTGTAAAAGTTTTATCATAGTTTCTCACTATTCAAATCTATTTGGCAATAAGTTATTAATGGATAGGTGATCTCTCTGTCTTTATCTTGACCCATGAGCATTTTCATCTTATTTGTCTGTGCCCCTCTCTTCCCCATAATTTTGTGGAGGATGAGTGAGTGAGCAGCTGGGTGGGTCTCTGGCTGCTGGCCAAGGTTAACCCACTACAGGACGACCACTTCAGGAATGCTGCATCCAGTTTGGGGCTCCCCAGCACAAGAAAGACCCTGACAGACTGGAGCGAGTCCTGCAGAGACCAGAAGGATGGCTGGGGCCCTGAGTGCACTGTAGGCAAGGAGAAGCTCAGAAATCTGGGGATTTTTGAGAAATCCTTGGAGCAAAGATGCAGGCCAGTTTGTGGGATCTCAATCAATGGAGATTTTCCACCTTTGCTGAGACAAGCAAGAGTTGGGTACCACTGAGCCCCAGAGGAGGACAGGTGTGGCCATGCAGCAAACCCTCAGGGCTGGGGTGTGCAACCAGCCATGGAACTGGCCAGTGTGTGGAGTGGTCAGGGAAAATTGCCCTGGGTCAGCTTGCCTGGGGTGTCCAGGGAACATGCCCCTCTCTTCTGCACATGCAGTGCCTTGCTTCCTTCACTGTTTCCCTTGGCTCTGTACCATGAATACCCTGCTGGGTGCCCTCACCCTTCACACTCACACAGCTGAGCTCTACACGTGTGTTTTCCTCTCTTAGACATGTTCATGCTGAGCGGAGCCCCTGCCTAGCTCTCCCCACCTCCCTGCCCTCTCCCCAGCCCAGCAGAGTAGCCCAACCTGGGCTGGACCCACAGCACTCACCCCACAGCTCCAGCCCCTCTGAAAAGTTAGAGAATGTCCTGGGGGGCAGAGGAGGGTTTCAGCCTTCCCCATCAGCCCTTGGGCTGAGGGTCAGCCATAGCATGAGGAGACAGAGACCAGTGTCTCCTTACATCTCCTGCTCTTGTCTCCAGGTGATCCTTATTGCCAACTGACCAAAGCCTCTCTGTTCAAGCCCCTCTCCCCAGCACAAGACTCCTGGCCCAGGAGCTGCACAGGCTGCTCCTGCTGTCCCAGCAACAGTGTGGCCTGCCCCGAGCAGAAATCTGTCTCTCTTTGCCATTTGTCTCCCCTGGAAGCACAGAGTTGCTCCTTTTCTCTTTTCCAGCGACATCCCTACCACACAGTGAGTCTTTTCCCAAAGGACTATGCCCATGAAGGACCCAATCACAGCAGCATGGCCTTGAGGGCACAACTTCTTCAGCCTGTTCCTGACCCCAGGTTTGGAAGGAGACCCCAATCTTGAGACACTGGCACTGAGGAAATCCCCTTTTATTACAGAGATATGACACAGGAGGGCAGCTGCACCATGGTGCTAGACGCAAGTACAAAGTCAGACAGGATGGTTTTATGTCTCTGGAGAAGTATAGCGACTGCAGACATTTCTGGACAAACAAGGTTATAACAGATACAACGCCCAAAGCACAGGAGGATCCTGACAGGAACTGGAAATCCTTTATGAAGAGACATGGTCTTGTGGTTTAACCTGGCAGGAGCTAAACACTGCACAGCCACTTGCTCACTTCCCCCCCCCCCCCCCAGTGGGATAGGGAAGAGAGTTGGAAAACAGTAAAACCTGTAGGTTGAGATAAATACAGTTTAATAAAATAGCAGAGGAAAATAATAAGAACAATAGCAACAATTATAATAACAGTAATAATGAGACTACACAAAACAAGTAACGCACAATGCAATTGCTCACCACCCACTGACCAATGCCCAGTGATTCCCCAAGGTGCAATCACTGCCCCCTGGACAACTCCCCCCAGCTTATATACTGAGCATGACATCATATGGTCTGGAATAGCCCTTGGGCCAGTTGGGGTCAGCTGTCCTGGCTGTGCCCCCTCCCAGCTTCTTGTGCACCTGGCAGAGCATGGGAAGCTGAAAAAAAAGATCCCTGACTGGTGTAAGCCCTGCTCAGCAACAACTGAACCATCAAGGTGTTATCAATATTCTTCTAGTACTAAATCCAAAACACAGCACTGTCCCAGCTTCTAGGAAGAAAAATAACTATCCCAGCCAAACCCAGAACACATGGACAGCTTATTGCTGCTGCAAAATAATAGATTGAATTAGCTTCTTCACTGCGTCCCTGAGCTCCTGGTTCCTCATGCTGTAAATGAGGGGGTTCAATATTGGAGGCCACACTGAGTACAATACTGTCACCAGTAGATCCAGGAAAGGAGAGGAGATTGAGGGGGGCTTCAGGGAGGCAAAAAATGAGGTGCTGACAAACAGGGAGACCAGTGTCAGGTGAGGGAGGCACGTGGAAAAGGCTTTGTGCTGTCCCTGCTGAGAGGGGATCCTCAGCACGACCCTGAAGATCTGCACATAGGACACCACAATGGAAACAAAACACCCAAAGACTAAACAGGCACTGACCACAATAAGCCCAACTTCACTGAGGTAGGTGTCGGAGCAGGAGAGCTTGAGGATCTGGGGAAGTTCACAGAAGAACTGGTCCAGGGCATTGCCTTGGCAGAGGGTGTGGCGGTGTACTCCCCCCCCTCGTCTCTGACTCCCCCTCCTTTGACCTCTTTCAAGTGATAACCACCTGTGGCCGTGGTGATAGATGCATCTGGGCTTTGTCTCCTGCACGGCAGCGGGCTGCACGCCAGGATCTCCCCTTGAGCAGGGACGCCTCTCAAGGTCACTCCTCAAGGTTGAGAGATTCCTTACCATGACAGATTCTCAGTAAGTGACTAACAGCATGCTACCTTGGAAATCTTAGCTAAGTGACATAAAGGATTAATTGCGCATATCTAATCCTTTAGGCATAAACCGTTGACCAAGTCTGGGACTAGGATTGGATCCAGCCGCACCTAGACTCCTCTCTGAGGGAGTTTAGAAAGCAAGGGGATCTTTTCTGAACCTCATGAATCAACGGGAGGGTCTCCCTGACAGTTTTGTCTGACCCTGTCCTCTGTGCAGTAAATAACAAAGTGTACCTTGCCATCGAATCTCGAACTATTGTCGCAGTTACCACTGACCTTTGTTAACTCACTGGTTTACGCCAATAAACCACATTATTTTTGCCTCCCTCTCACTCCATCCGCGACAGAGGGGTAGTGAAAATGTGTTGGCAGTGTGCAGCAGAGCATTGACAAACCCACTGCCCCAGGCAGCTGCTGCCATATGGACACAAGCTCTGCTGCTCAGGAGGGTCCCATAGTGCATGCATTTGCAGATGGCAACATAGCGGTCATAGGCCATGACTGTAAGAAGAAAATACTCTACTCCAAGCAAGAAGGAAAACAGAAAGGTCTCTGCAGCACATCCTGAGTAGGAGATGGCCCTGGTGTCCCAGAGGGAATTGGCCATGGCTTTGGGGAGAGTGGTGGAGATGGAGGCCAGGTCAAGGAGGGAAAGGTTGAAGAGGAAGAAGTACATGGGTGTGTGGAGGTGTTTGTCACAGGCTACCACAGCGATGATGAGTCCGTTGCCCAGGAGGGCAACCAGGTAGATGCCCAGGAAGAGCCAGAAGTGCAAGAGCTGCAGCTCCCGCATGTCTGCAAACACTAGGAGGAGGAACTGGGTGATGGTGCTGCTGTTGGACATTTGGTCCTTCTGGGCATAAATCACTGTTTAAGAGGGAAAAGACAGAGAATAGTCAGGGGATTCTTCTCTGAGCAAAATTAAAGCCATTGATTATAGATCCTGCTCTGTTACACAAAGCCAATTTTCATTTTCTGATAGACCTTCCTTCAGCTCCATGTCAGAGGTCTGGCTGGTGCTTGCTGAGTGTGCCGTGATGAACAGGGCCTCTTCCTGCTGGCTGCCAAGGAGTCAGGCCTGCTCTGCATCAGTGGGTTCATGGGAACAGCAGAGGCCAGTCCTGGTGTTTGATTTTGTCAGATGGAACCGCTAGTAATGCAGAAGAGCTCATCAACATCTGCACTCTTGGTGCTAAGGAACCAGGAAGGCAGAAGACAGTTTGAGAGGTTTTGGGATTTTGACAGCTGCTCCTGTCTCACTTGGGGTGTGTTCTTGGATGTCAGAAACCCTCAGCTCTTCTGCTGTGCTCAGGGAGAACAGAGTGAGTCCTGCAAGGCAAGAAGATTACCTGTATCTTAGTGCGGTATGAGGGGAGATGGTCTGTCCTTCCATGTTGTTCCCAGCTGCCCTAGGCATGAACCTTTCTCAGATGGAGGGTGATCACATTCCCATCTTACCCTGAAAAGCCACCAGACACTGCTGAGAGCAGAGGCATCCAATGCAGACCACTAAATGTCTCACCCTTTCCTAAGACCTAAGCACCCCACTTCTAGCCAAAGACACACAGAGCTCATTTCACCAACCCAACATCATTTCCTCAGCTGTAGAGTCTTTGCATTCTCCATGGGGCTTTCAGATAAAATGGAGGTGCTACAGGACAGGTTTGCATCCCTGAGGGCAGCTCACAGCTTGGAAGGACACTCTGACAAGATAGCCAAGTGTCCTAATGATGGCATCTCTGTAAGGGAAAAACAGGTAATTCTCCAGACCCACAGACTGTATTGACCAGATCTCCACAGGTTAGAGGAAACTGGGACACTTGTTCCAATGGACACACCTGCATGGGGGGACCCACAAGATCAGCGTGTGACTCTGCAGCTGAAAATACACCTCCCCAGACAGCCTGGCAACAACTTCAAGATAACAATAGCAATAACACAGACCAGTGGAGAAGCAAGCAAATATCCAGTGAGGGTCTGGCTGGGAGAGGCTGTGGGATGTGCCAGCTTCAGGAGATCGTTCCAGGAACTGCAGCTGCATTGCCCTGCAGCCAGAGACTTACCCTGTTAAGGGCTTTGAAGCTTTTTCTCCATGTGAGCTCTTCTCTGTCCTCCCACCCCAGTCTTCCTTTAATCTCACTCTTACTCCCCTCCTCTCTCCTCGGTGCCTGCAGGCAGTGCCCTCAGCCCTGCTGCCCCTTGCAGAGGAGCTGCTCCTGGGCAGAGTTGTCTCTCTGCAGCGCTGCCCACTTGCCATGAGCTCCCTCCATCCCAGGAGCCCAGCCCAGCTCAGCAGCAGAGAACCAGCCCAAGGCAGCGCTTGCTCTGCCCCTTTGGGCTCCCTCTGGGTGCTCCTGGGGCTGAAGAGAAACCTGCTGTGAAACAACACTGATGTTCCCTCCCACAGCTGGGGAAAGACACTTATTTCCAGAAGTGGAATTTCTTTTTTCAGAGACAAAATAACATCTAAATATCACCTTTTTTGGTCATCTTCTTAGACAGTACACCCAGACAATGACAGGCAGGGATCTCCTGTACCCCTGCTGAGGGAAGGCATTCAGCTGAGTCAATGGAGGCACCTCATCCTGTGTTTCTATTCGTAGCATTTGAAGGAGACTCAGCTCCCACCCATGCCTGCCACAAACCCACAGGTCATGGAATTCCTTCTACCTCAGTTCACATGTGCACAAAATAGGCACCTGCATGTAAGCGTCTTTGCTCAACTCCAGTGCTAATTAATCGAGATGGAGGACAGGAGTGAGGTGTTCAGATGCAAAATCCTGCTGACATCAGAGGTTCCAGAGGTGGTTGAAAGATACATTCAGGTAACTGCATGCTCTAATGCGGCAGTTCATACAGACAGGGCAACATCTCGGGGATCACATATGAGCTTGGTGGGAAATTCGTTCGTTCAAGTGAAATAACAACTGATGCCCAAATAAAGGTCAAAAGAAGCTTTTCCCACTCGTTACCTTCATGGCAGTTTTTCGAGCTATTCATGTAATCACAGAATCACAGAATGGTAAAGGTTGGAAGGGACCTTGGGAGATTATCTAGTCCAAACCTCCTGCTAAAGCAGGTTCACCCAGAGCATGTTACACAGGACTTCGTCCAGGCAGGCTTTGAATATCTCCAGAGAAGGAGACTCCACATCCCCCCTGGGCAGCCTGTTCCAGTGCTCTGTCACCCTTAAAGTAAAGTTTTTCCTCATATTCTACTGAAGTCTTCTCTTCTTCAGGCTCAACATGCCCAGCTCTCTCAGCCTTTCCTCAGAGAAGAGATGCCCCAGTCCCTTCATCATCTTTGTTGCCCTCCTCTGGACTCTCTCCAGTAGCTCCTCATCTTTCTTGAACCGGGGAGCCCAGAACTGGATGCAGCACTCCAGGTGGGGTCTCACCAGGGCAGAGTAGAGGGGGAGGAGAACCTCCCTCGACCTGCTGGCCACACTCCTCT